CATTAATATCCAAACGATAATGTGTGCAACCAAAATTATCAATCTGTCATTTTCGTTTGAGGATTCGACAACACTGGATTACGAAGACGTGATTATTAGGGATAATAATAATAATATTGCCTTTATTAATTAAAATGGGCGAAGTTTAACAAAAGTTACTCTTCCACTTAACCCATATTACAAAAGCAGGGGAAACAAGAATAGCAATTGTATAATAACACAATCAAATGATCTGTACAGTAAAAACATATCAGTGCTAAAGATAATAAGATAGACGATATACAGAAACAAATGTTTATTCATACTGAATACCTAAGTATTTTTGTTTGAGGTTTTTCCTGCATTATTTTATATTTAGATCTTTAAGGAAATTATAGTTTTCATTGTAAGTAACAGAAGTATATGTAAATGATTTGCAAAACCAGGCAGTAAAGGGATTAGGCATTGTCAGTTTATTGACTTGGCTTTATGAACATCATTTCTAAAAACTAACTTTTTTCTAAGCGATAAAGGAGATGAATTAGCTAGCACTTTCATGGTCAGGATCAAGTGTGAAATTTTCCATTGATTTTCCATATAAATCCAATTTAATTTTTTTAATTTTTCACTTATGTGATCGTACTTACGCTAGCTATATATAAACCTACAGCAGCTTTTTTATACCTTTTGAATACGGTTTGTGTCCATTTTTTTCTAAAGAAGAAATAAAGTAAGTTGGATAAAACTAATCTTCTACAAAGTTGTTTTCTTAATTTTAGCCGTTACTTAGTTTAAAATATTTGATTTAATTTATTTGGTAACTTCAATAATTTCGTTTTTAAAGTAAATTATTAAAAAAAAACACAATTTTATTGTTATTTATTATAAGTTATTTTTTTTAAATAATCCTTTTACCTTTTTTCTTATCTTTGTTTTCCGCTTTTCTCAATATTCTGCATCTTTTCTGTTGCTTTATTTTTGGTTCCCATACCTTTTTTCAATAATTTATTATTTCTTTGTAATTGACTTTATTCGCTTCACAGAATAATTCGTTTTTATAACTCATTTTAAGATTTTAAATAACAATGCATAAAGAAATGTCACTGCAACTGTCAAAGGCGAAAAGAGTAACCATAGAAAAAAACTATCAACAATTCGAAATGTGTTCGCATTTAATTCCTATTTTTGTATTAAAATAAAAAATAATTATAAAATCAGTAAGAACCCCTTTCCCCGCAATGTAGTGCCCAAACCTGCTTAGAACAGAACAATATTTTCTTTTGTTAATATAACTACTATATCCAGTAAAAACCCATAACTAAATAACTATAAACCTCCCAAAAACAATTACACCATACAAAAGAGTTAATTCCCTATTTTCAAGTCAATTGTATTTAATAATGCAAAGAGAAATTTGTTTAAACCGTGACACCGACAATCGAAAACAAGTTAAATCAAAAGCCTGTCAGCTTTATTTCACTCATATAATTAATATAATGGTCGTAAAGTCGCATTAAAAGGGTTATACATTACATTTGCCAGTTTTTAAATTAAAAGAACATCAAAAAGGACTTAAAGCTTATGCTGAAAATTTAGCTTTAATAACTTTAACCGACTTGTATGAATGTGCCAGGCAAGCTCATAGTCAATAATTTAACGTTTTATGTAACATGATTAATTGCCGGGCAACATGTGATTATAAACTTTTTAAAATATATGACACAGTTTTAATCTGTTTTATAATTTTTTATTTATTAAAATCTCATTTTTATATGAATATTAAAATCGGCCATACATAATTTATAATTTGATTTCAAGAGAGAGAAACAAATATACATTTTATCTATTTTGCGTTCATAATGACTTCATTATAACACCGCTTTCGGTGCTGTAATGAGATACTTTATCCCACCCAAAATTTTGATTTTATAGGTTGGCTATACTTTAAACAGCATAATATTTTGCATATTGGTTATAATATTTTTATGATTTTTGTGGTACTTACGAGACTTTTCTGGCAATAAATTTTGTTTAACACCAAAGAAAATCTTTTTTTTTCTTCTTTAACATTAACAGCCTCTTATCGTAAATAAGTAAATTAAGGAGGGCATGGCGAATCGATTTTGACATTAACTGTCAAACCAATGACTGTGATACCAACTATCTAGGTAAGGATAAGGGTATTTCCATTGTAACGGGTGCGACACTAAAACTGCCTTTTTTCATGATAATAAAGTGTTTGTTCATATATATCATGATACGTTAATATAAAAAAATAGTATAAAAAATTAGGTATTTAACTCAAACAAAATGTCAATATAAACTTGTATAGAAAACCTTTTATAACGTCATGAATAGCGACCTTAGAAAATCGGCAAGTTGGCTTCTAAAGTTGATACTGTAAAATCTTGGATGAAAGCATATAGTAATAATTTTTTGTGTAAAACTTGAATAGTAACCTTAAACAAGCATGTATTTTAAATGCACAAATATTGTTTAATATATTTTCTAAAATTTTCTCAAACTGTAACGGATGCGACATTTGAACATTATATCGAGTATTGAAACTCTTCCGTGTTTATTCTTAATGTAGGCTTCTTAGCGTTACAATGTACGAAAATTTTAAGGTTATAAATTACGTCGCAATTAAACTATTTTACTTCAGATATACACGGAGAGAAATGTATAGTAAATTTTATATAGTAAAAAAATATAGTAAAATTTACTTTAACAAAATAATATTTTTTATTATACAATTTTAGTAATGATTACAACACCAATATTACTAAATCAATAATGTATAATATATATTTTAATTTTTAATATATTCGTATAGTAAATTGATTTTACTATCTGCAAATAGTAATATTTACCAAATGATTTAATCAAATGTAAGGTGTACATCTAATATTACACTACTACTAATATATTACACATTAATAAAAAATATAGTAAAAATAAAGATACTTTTATGTTTAAGGTAAATAAACAATAATATACAATATAGTAACTCATGACATTTTAAACATTCAATTTTCTTAGTTTCTTTAATAAACTTCCTTGTCCCATTACTGGTAATACATATAAGAAAGAATTGAACCTACTTGGTTGCATAGTATGTACCGATTGTGGCAAAGGCCACGTCGCGACGCGTCGATAGACGGTGTGGATCTCGTGATGTTCTTACATCTCGCTTGGCTTACCGTTGGCTTAATGTTTTATAAGCTCAGGTATTTCTTTGTTTTGGGTGTGTTCCACTACTACAAGTTGCTCGACAGTGTCGTGTCGACAATGATGATACCCAATATAGGTCAAAACACCTGTCTGTCGGTATTTGAATTTGATGGAACGCACTCAAAACAAAAAACTTTGGCGAGGTGTAGGTTCAATTCTTTCTCATAACATTTTTGTATATTAAAAAGTACAATAAATATGTTACAATTTTTAATTGTTAACATATAAAAATATTCGATTTTAAAATATTTTATATTTAAAATGGAAACATAATATTTTAAAATTTACTATACTTATTAGTAAAGGAAAAATCTATTATTATAAGAATTAAAAACAAAATTGGTTGAGAATAATAATATTTTACCTTAAGGTTTAACATACATGGATATTTAAAAATTACTAAATATGCATAGTGTCTGGCAATATACAAGATAGTTGTCCCAAATAGTAATATAACTAAGCAGCATTTTAAGTTTATATAACGACAAATTTACTACAAAGTCAACTTTAAAGTGTTTTTTACGGTTAACCAAAACGGTTTTATAATGGTATAGATACAAAAAATTACCAAATTTGGGGAATGGTTTATTTCGTTATTTTACCTACATAATAACCTTTTTGATCTACTAAGAGAATAACGTAATAAAAACAATATAAATACTACAAATTTACGTAAAAATAACGCTATAATTACTAACTGTTTGCTCTCTCTTTCTAAAACATTGACATTCATAATTTATTTGTTATTTTAATTTATATTTTACAAAATGGTACCTACTTACAAAGTAATAAAGGCCACCCTAGAGCAAAATTAAAAAATATAACTTAAATTGTCAAAACTAGATATTAATATTTTCCATTAAAACTCAAACGCACATTATTTTATTGATAAAAATAGGCATGATACATCTTAAAAATTATTTGCCCTCTAATATTTTACGGTTTTAAGAAAAATTTTTGCTTGGGTAAAAATTCAACAAAACTTAAAACCTACAAAATTTTATAAAATCTTTTAAAAATCATTTAGTTTTAATTATTTTTTAATAACTAAAACTTTCCTTATTATATTTCTAAAAAATATTTATGAAAAAATATATAAATGTTTTGATAAGTAATGGATGCCATCTTAAAAAACTCATTATGGCGACCTGAAAAAAAAATTCCCTTAAAGTTTTATTTTTCACTTTAAGATTATTTTTGCTTGTTTAGTCAATATTAATAGTATTTATTACCACTAATAACCCTAATAAATATATATAGGAATTATTTACGGTTATAAAGTAGTCTTAATATCGTAAAATTATGACTTATGAGTAACATTTACCATTAAGTAGAAATTCTGACGTTAAAATTACCGTTAAATTTTCCTTTAGGTGAAATACACTTATAAGTAATTTTCTTTCGTAAAAATTACGTCCCTCATAATCCTTTAAAGTGTTGAAACTTAAGGGTTATTAAAATAGGTAAAAATAACATAAATAAAACTTTTTAAATAACTTAAATAAAGTTTTACTTCAAAGTAAATTTTGAAGGTTAATTTAACAGAATATTTACTTAAATTAAGTAATATTGCCTCAAAGCTCTACGCTTTTACTTAAAATGATGCTTGGGTAAATTATAGTAAAGGGTATTATAATTATGGTAATCAGCATTATACTTTTCTCTCCATGTAGTTGTTATTTTGTTAAATAACACATCTGAGGAACATTATAGAAAATCACCCTGTACAATCCATTTTTTTTGTTCACTTACAATAAAGTTTATGCATATTTGTTTTTGCTTTCCAGGGGAACATCCTGCAGCAATGCAGCATGGCGGTCAGTTAAGGTTGGAGTATCCGTTCTCGGCGTGTCTGCTCAGCATCTTGGTGGCTCTGGTGGGACCATAAAAAACTTAGTCGAACTTTAGGGGGGTGCGATTCCGCTGTCGCGTTTTCGGTCTCTCCTTCAGACCCCCCTCCCCCCCGTTTCAGTGAGTTGTGATAAGAAGACCGTGTAAATAGAATCCGTGTAACAGTGTGGTGTGGCAGTTTTTGCTGTTTTCAAACAATAAACTTTATACCCGTAGGAGTTATGTGATTTTCTGCATCATTTTTTTTGGTGAGTAAATGTGTTATTTGTACTTACACAGGGTGTCCAAAAATAACGTTTATATATTAAGGGTAGTGACTCTGCAAGTAAAAATAAAAAATAAGTTGCTATAAACATACGTCCGAAAATGCCTCCTGGGGGCGATATAGGCATTTTAAACTCTTTCAAAAAATCAGAATTTTATTAACGATTTCAGAAACGGTTAGTTAAAAAAATAATGATGCTTTATTTCTGGGATATTTTTTTGGTGAGAAATCGAATAAATAAATAGAATAAAATATATTATTTTCCTCATTATAATATGAACCAATCAAAAGCCTTGAATTTTCGAATAAATTTCGTTTAAATAAGCGATTAAATCACTAGAACTAGATTTTTGTTTACGATTTTATGGTGTTATTTACAAGTTTTAACAAACATTTTTTAAAAAACAATAAAAAATAAGTTATCTAGTTTACGAAATATCAATTATTACTTATTACATACCTTAAATTAATGGAATTTTCTTTAAAAAAATATTTATAAATTTTGACACATACATCAGATTTTATGAATGGTCAAATAGTTTCCTTTAATTCGAGAAATAATCTAGACGTATATCACTCAACCTATAAATTTAATCTGTCAAACTATGCTCAGTAAGTTTTTTATTTGATTTTTCTTTTTGGAAAATAGTTTCATGCAAAATAAATAAAAATAAAACCCCTCGACTGCTACGCGGTCTCGTGATTTTATTAAATTATTTTGCCTTCAACATTTTCCAACAAAAACCAAACAAAAAACTACTGAGCCTAGTTTAACCGATTAAATTCATAGTTCTCGTAATATAATATATGAATAGATTTTATTTCTTCAAAGAAATTGCAAGAAGTACAGTATAGAAAACGTCAAAACAAAGTAAACATTAAAAACCTACTCTCTTAAAATGAATTAGTCAAAAATAACTAATTATAAGTCATATTTGACTAATTCTCATAGCAAAACAGCAGTCACTAATAATTAGTCAAATTCTACTGAATGAAATAGTCAAATTAGTAGATTTAAATTTAAAAAAAGTTTTAATTTTATTTGTCAATAAATATTGTTCATAATATTTTAAAGTGGAATATATTATTTGTGTTGCTGTTAACAGTTGTGAGCTAAACTTTTTGCATCTTTATTTGTTTTTATGGGTCATTTAACCATGGAGCTTAGGTATATGCATTTAATTCAAATAATACTTTGTTGTTGGCCGCAAACGATTAAAGAAATTTGTTACTTTTAACTCTCAAATGGTCAAAGATGGTGACTAATCTTAAATTAGTCAAACTTTAACTATTTACCTAGTAAAAAATAACTATTTAAAAGTGAAAACGACTATTTTATTAGTAAACAATGCTGGTACTAATTCAAATAGAATTAGTACCAGCAGAATTTTGACTATTTCATTTTTAGAGAGTATAAGAGAGTATAAGCATACAAAAAACTCTTAATTAAAATAAAAAATCATTAACATAGTAATCACATCTGTTTACAAGATATGCTCTTAAGCAACTTTTAAACTCCTTTTGACTTTGATTGTTTATAGTTGTTGGTAATTTATGAAATAAAATCGAGGCAAAATTTTGAATACCCGTCTAAACAATGTGGATTCTGGTCTGATTTATTAATGCCATATCTTTGTTTCTAAGGTAGTACGAATATTCTATACTAGTGTTACTAAAAAGAAAATATTTTTTTGTAGAAAACTAACGTTTCGAATATAGTCAATTCCATATTAAATGGAAAATTGACTATATCTCAAAAACTGTTCTACTTTTTTAACTTTTGACGACATTTTCGGATTCAGGGGACAATTTTATATAAGAATTGACTGTTAAATTTTGGGATACCATGGTATCTCATGATTAACATGTTACAAATAAAAAAGCAGCCACTTATTAGTGAAATGACTAATTCATTTTTAGAGAGTAAGTAATAAGTAATGATACTTGTTAATTCTTTTTAACACATTGGCTGTTTAATCCTTCCATGAAAACTTGTCCAAGATAACACCTAAGAATTTAACTAAATGACTTAATTCAACTGAATATTTAGTATTCATATTAGTTATGTTTTCGGCAAACCCATACTCTCCGAATTTTATATACTGTGTCTTGTCCTCATTTACCTTAAGGCCATTGTTTTAAAACAATTGGAATATATTTTCTTGTGTTAAATATATAGTTTTTTTGTATTTTTTTAAATTCTCGATCTTGAAATTACAATTATTCAGATATTTTTACGTAAAAAATCACCATCATCATCAGTAACCATTTCTGAAATAGTTATTAAAAACCTGATTTTACGAAATAGTTTAAAAACCCCCCGAAATATGTTAATGTTATTTCCGGACACACTGTATAGATTATACATAAGTATGTTCTCCACCTTTAAGATTATAATAATAATAATAAATTTAATAAATTTTGTTTATTAAAAAGTTGGTCTAAATACTTTTTATGAAGACTAGAGATAGGACTACACTGTTCAAAATTTCATGACCATTTTAACACCAAATTAACACCATACATGGTCTATATCGATACAAACCAAAATGGTGTTAAATATGGTTCGTTGGTCCAGTGTAAATTTAAATAATAAAATAGTGTAAATTTAACTTTCACACAGTATTAAAATAAATTTTTACACAGAAAAAAAGGAAACAGTTCCTTGACGCATTACAAGTATATTACCAATGGTATTATTCAAGAAAATTAAACCTTCAACTCGCTAGAGATAATTTTTAGTGCGTTCCACCAACTCAAAATACTTCAAGTATTGACAGCTGTTTCCACCTATTCAAGGTCTCTTTAGTATCGAACAACTTGTAGTGTCACACCAAAACAAAGGACTACTTGAGCTTATATACTCTTCATGTAAGTCAACAGGGGCGAGATTTAAGTACATCACGTGATCCACACCGCCTTTGCCGCGATCGGTACACACTATGCAACCCGGAATGCACGGCAAATTGTTTTAATCGTTTTAACAGAGTGCTTTAGGTTGAAGTAACTCTTATTTTACAAACAACATATTTAGTAAACTGAACCATACACCGGGTTGGTTTCACTAAAGTTTTCTGGGTTAATTTAACCAATTTAAAAAAAATAAAATAACTATCTGGTTTAGTACAGTCAAACTAATCTTTGTTTGTATTAACCTTGCCACAGTTGATTTAAATAACTAAATTAATACAGTTAAATGAACTATTCCTTTTTTTCTGTGTAGGTGCACTTCTCAAATATTTTTAGATAAACACCATTTTGAGGTGTGCTGTAAATAACAATTTTAACCATTTTAACCATAATTCACCACTTGGTGTTGGATTTTGACACCATTTTAAGATTACTCTTTACACCGCAGATATTTTAAACAGTGTACAAACTTCCTATTTTTGACGCGTATTTTTATGAGACAAAATACGTCGGAAATGTTACTTGTGTGTTGCCCCACCAAACAACCTTTAAATGTTTATTAAGCATAATCATGTTAAGAGTACCTATTATAAACTTTACGGAATATAAACTCTTAATTAAAATAAAAAGAAACCCTTTCGCCATAAATTTTAATCCTAATAAAACACTTACACAGCCACAATTTCAAGTTAAGAACGCTTAGTGCAAAGTAACGTAAGCTCGGGTATAAATTTGGCCCTTTATTTTGGTCACTTTAGTAGTGCGGTTGCTGCTTAAGTTTACTGCAAACTTAATATGAAACAATTTTAATATGTTGTTGCATGTTTGCCTAAATGTCTCAACTGAATTAAATTTTGCTTGTTGAATTAAATTTAGCAGTATTCTCTTGGTTTATTTCTTGCAACTAAAGTACATTAACAAATTAAAAACTTTATACTTTAAATTAAAGGGGAAGTTTTCTTATTTCGACTTTTAAACTAAATATAATATTTAGTAAAGTAATTAAACTTTATTTTAATTGGCTTTTTTGTTTCAGATTCATGCAATTTGATCCAAGGGGCACTAAACATCAACTTCTTATAAAAGCTTTCATAAAACAAGTTTGTGTTAGTTACTGTGACTATATTATAGACTACACTGGAAAATTAATTGTTTTGTACACCGTAATTTTCTTAAAAATATAAGATCGAAAATTAAAAAGGATTCTTTGAATACTTAGATTAAATTTAGATAACAGTTAAAACTAAAAATCCTTTATAATTTTTCTTAAAAGAAACAATGTCGTAATATTAATAACTAACCGTATCTAAAAATTTTGTATATATTTAGAGATTTAGACATATTGTACATAATATATTATAATTAACTAATAATATTTTGTAAGTTATTTCGTTATAAACTCACAACCATTATTTTTCTGTTAAGTTTATTGACTTAAAACCAGATTCGTGTAAATTAAAATACTTAAATAAATTTAAATAAATTAATAAATACTGTGGTTATATTTACGTTGTTAATACATATGTAAAATATCGTGAATAAATTTAATTAAATATCTTTTGGTTTTTATTTATACAGGGTTTACCAAGTATCCTTTTATGTATGGGTATCTTTTAATTTGACAAAAGAAGATAAAAGTTCCTTAATTAGATGTCTATTAAAAAGGCATTAAAAAATTAAAGAAAAACAGCAGTTATCAAATTATTTGAAAAAAAACTGAACACCTGTCAAAACCTTAAATCCAAGTACTTCGTTATTCCTGAAAATTTTAATAAAAAAGTAAATTTTACAAGTAAACATTTATCTACATTTTCATACAATTTATAATTTTTTTCGCTTACTAGATGTTAAATTACCATCACCATCTTTTGTTTTTCCTATGGCCGCAATTTTGGAATAATGTTGTGGCTTTCAAGGCTGTTAAATGTCAATTTTACATAACCAACAAATTTATCATAACCCACAAATTTACTATACCCACAAACCCCAGTACCACAAAGATATTGGCCCAATATTCGTAATAATATTGGGCCAATATCTTTCGTCGGATTTTTTCTAGCATGGTTTGTTTTTAGGAAATATTTATGATGCTATGAAGGGGGAGAGGGTGTTACTTGATATAAAATGTACCTTCAAATTCTTTGAAAAAATCTACCAATAAGGCAAGTCGTGTAGGTACCGTCTATGTTATTCTTAATTACGATGAAATGCTAAAATCGTTTGTATCGTGTGCTAAAATGATCAGCTTAAGCTTTATTAACGTAATAACGAATTTTATTTCTAATAAGACAAGAAATCGCATATTAACATTGTTATTCTTACGGTAATATGCAAGAATGGCCTTTATTATTTTCACCCATTTGGTGCTAAACAAAAAGAATGGATATTTTGTCTACTGGGGAATTAACCTTAAAATTTACATTTGACAGTTTTATGACAGCCCTAATAGAATAAGGTTTATTTTTTTTCGAAAGAAGAGTAAAATGATTGCCCTTAGCACTTTAGGGCCTCATTTGAGGCTTACAAGTGACTCTGTAAGAAACACAATGTTTAAAACAATTATTAATTTGTATAAACAGCACAAGCACAAGAATTGTAAACAACATAAAAATGGCCACCGTTAGAGGCTGTGCAGTGGGTTGCCTAATTTGGTTATTTTTGGCATGCGCTTAAGGAGATAGAACAGACCTTGTTGTGTGGATTGAGGCTAGGTGTATGTTTTGCCTAATCATTTTGATTATTTTGTTATTGATAATAAAACATACTACAATATTTTTACAAAATCTTTATTGTTATAAATTCTCATTTTCTACTAGGACATCTTTAATGATTGCTGTAAAATCTTTTAAAGGACACAGTTCGGGACAGTTCGGCAACTGTAGTAATTGCGGATTGTTTCCTGAGTAATCCTGGTACAATATCTAAAAATATAATTTCACCACATCAAAAGCTCATATTTTTAAAAAAATTAAAAACTAATAATTAAAAATAAAACCTATCGTAAATACACTCACAGGCAAAATAATCGATCCACACAAATTTTCGATGAATTTCAATCGCAAATAACTTTTTTATTTGATTTCGGATTTAAACAAATATTAAAGAATATTGTAGATACATTAATGTAGAATCGCTCACCTTTTACTTAAAAAATTACTAAAAAATAGACGTTTATAATATACAGGTTTAAACAAAAAGATGTTTTTTACCATAAGTTTAAGACACTTTGTAGAGTGGCAAAACCGTATATTGTTCTAAATTAAGTTTTATTTATCAAGTCACATCTATTCTTAACAGTTTTGTTTTTGGTTCACCTCGAAATATTTATTTTTGTGGAAAATATGGATTTTTAAAAAAAAACATTGCAATTTCCAATATTTTTCCTGTATGAAGAACTAAGGTTGCTATGCTATGGAGAATGACAGTGACAGTTTTATTGAATCATCCCATACTTGGACATGTCATACACGGCTTTCAAAAGCTATCAAATTATTTTTTGCAAATTAATGTTTAAATTTTGAGGTGTCTTCTTACTTTAAATAATGGATATGTCCCCGACTGATGTTGCCAGAGCATTTAATTTAATCCAGGATGGACGGTCACAGTATTACGTGGCAAGTGTTTTAAACGTCACAAGAAGTAAAGTACAAAGGGCAACATCAGTCGGAGACATTTTTAAAAGTAAGAAGACACCTCAAAATTAACACATTAATTTATAAAAAACAATTTGATAGCTTTTGAAAGCTGTATATGACATGTCCAAGTATGGGATGATTCAATAAAACTTTCACTGTCATTATATATCTCCAAGTATGGGATGATTCAACAAAACTGTCACTGTCATCCTCCGTAGGCTATGGATGGACCATAGCAACCTTAGTTCTTCATACAGGAAAAATATTGGAAATTGCAATGTTTTTAAAAAAAAATCCATATTTTCCACAAAAATAAATATATCAAGGTGAACCAAAAGCAAAACTGTTAAAAATAGATGTGACTTGATAATTTAGAACAATATACGGATTTGCCACTCTACAGAGTGTCTTAAACTTATGGTAAAAAAAATCTTTTTGTTTAAACCTGTATATTATAAACGTACGTGTATCTACAATATTCTTTAATATTTGTTTAAATCCGAAACCAAATAAAAAAGTAATTTGCGATTGAAATTCATCGAAAATTTGTGTGGATTATTTTGCCTGTGAGTGTACTTTCAAAAAAATGTTTTCAATTATTCTTACCTTTACTGCATAATCATCTTCTGTCTTGTGAATCTCCAAAATAAGGCAAGACGCATATGGCGGAATTGTATCATTAAATATTCCAAAATATATCAATAAAGCTGCCAAATTGAAATCGTGACCTGAGTATATGTTTATTTTTAATTCTGATTTACCTTCGAGTTTTGTTCTGGTTGTGTTCATAATATCCTTTAATAACATACCTAAAATGATGTTATTATTGGTATATTTTAATATTTGTGCCTTTTTTAAAATTTTGTATACCTGGTGATATAGTTTTTTGTTCAGAAGTTGCCATACAAGATTTGTAAAATTGAATGGCCAAATCGGTGTGGGTTTGAGTTAATAAATCGTCTGCCCAAGCTGGAGTTGGTATTCCTAATAGTTTCTTAAAATGAGAAGCAAGTATTATCAAATATTTTATTTAAAAATTTAAGCTCTCTATATGGTTTTTAATATTAACCTACCCGAGCAGCCAAAATGTTCAAAATTTCCAAAGATAAAAGTCCATTCTCAAGCTCATAACCAATATTTTTGGATATTAATTTAAATAAACCTTCGAATTTTTTGAATGTTTTACTGGTTTCTTGGTACGCCATAGTGATGAAGTTGATATCATAAAAAGGGGTTAATAGCTTAAAAACAATATCATACATAAGTTATAAATAAAAAACTAAATACAAACTTACTGGATCTTTTTTTGCCAAAACTGTAAAAGGAATATTCGTATCATACTCATATAAAGTTTTTAAAAATGTTTCGAGTGATTTCTGTGTTCTCTTGCGACAACTAGATGCAGCACATACGGACCCTGGAGTGTATCTTTTATCCAAAAAAGTATTGTATCTATTTCTAATATATCTACCCAAGTCTTCCATTTGTTGAACACCTTCCTAGATTTATTTAAGAATAATTATAAGTTATTATTTTTTTTACCTACATTAGTCAATTGTCCTATGCCATAAGGTGGGTAGGTATAGTTTTTCAATGGATCATTGACGTAAGGTTCGATAGAAACATCGGGGGTTCTAGCTCCATGTCGAAATAACTAAATAAAAATAAACATTTTAAATACAATCAAATTCACAGTGTTCAGCATCTTGAAGAAAGTGTTTTATAAAAATGCAATCAAAAATTGTTATTTTTTTACCAAACAAATTTTGAACTTTTGCTAACAAGTGATTGAAGACAAAAATTCACGTGTTTCGTAGTTTACTTACAACGTGCACCAATACTAAATCACTCACACACATTTTTGCACACATAACACCAATTATACAATATAAAATGACAATATTATTCATTTCTTTCTTTATATTACAAAACTCTTATCATTTTTTAATTGTTTGGCTATTAAAGAATCTGTTTACAGTCATTTGTTTGTGTTAATGCTTCCATTTAAATAACATCATTTATTTTAAATTAAAATATGTACATTTATGTAAAATATAGGTTAAAGGTCAAAAATTCCACCCAAAATTAAAAAATGCGACGATTAATAGTTATACTATAATTATTTTTAAAATTTTATCGCAATGGAACAACATTTGTAAAATTTTTTGTAAAAATATAGTTTATTTTTATTTTATAATTTTATATTTTAGTAAGTAAGATAACCAATAACCAATTGTTATAATAATGTTTGTTAAATATTTTAAATTGGGGGGAAAGGCTGAATTGAATCTGTATTCAATTTTGCTCCATCAGGGCAGGTTTTCAAGAAATTCTTACCCAAAAGTGGAATATCGCACTTAGGAAACGGCATTTGGTTGATCCAAAGTTGCAAAAATATTAATGTAAAAACTAATGCAATCGTTATTTTTTTAATGGTAATGTAGTTTAAATACATATTATTAATTCATTAAAAAAAATTTAATGAGAAATATTTTCATTACACATTAAAAAATTAATGAGTAAATACATTACTCATTAAAAAATAAAAAATGAGTAGTAAGAGACCATACATTACACATTAAAAAAACGAAAGACATTACCCATTATTACATCAGTGAAAAATGATCAGGGGTAGGGTAGATGGGGTGATTTTTTATATGGGGCATTTCTGACACTTTGAAAAATGTTATTTTTCGATATTTTTAAAGTTTAATAATTTTTTGATTACTCGTACAAAAGATATCAAATTTTCAAAACAATCGCGTTTTTTTTGTCCGAATTGAAATTTTTATTTCTTAAAATTATCCAAAGCATATTTGCACGCAAATTTTGAGTTTTATAATTTAATTTTTTAAACTTTGTATTTTTCGATTTCCTTGCAAATTTTTTACATCAAACTTCTATCCACTCAAGAAATTTTAAGCCAGGGTTGATACTGGGATTATGATAATTAGGTGAGAAGGCGACCAAAACTCAAAAAAGTATTGAATCCGCGATGGTATGAACAAATAATTAATTTTGAACGTCTGTTACTGGTAAAAAAAACAATTCTAAACAAAAATTGAAAAAATGTGTCATACAATAAAAAATATCTTCCTTGTCCACTAAAAATTAAAAAATGAGTAGTGTAAAGTAAGTACAATACTAATTAACGTAAAAAATTCTAATTGAAAATTTCAAAATACTCATTACAAATTAATAATACATAATGAAAATTAAACACATTACTCATTATTTTAATATATATATAATATACTATTGTTTTATAGATGGCGCTCTATACAAATATTTGATTTAAACAAATACTTATTATTATCTTAAAATGATTTAAATCAAATATTTGTATAGAGCGCCATCTATAAAACAATAGTGGAATTTGTGTCACCGTCAAATGTCAAATTTGTATGTGTTTGTAACACACATTATAAAGGTTATAAATCAAAATGTATACCTTGCAAATGGATTAACAGTCCAAGCCCGAATGTAAGTTATAGTTTACTGTATATATATACTTTAGTGCGCATACGTAACCACAAATTTTATTTTTTCGTAAAAATAATTGTTAAAAGAATTTCTACGTCATTAGCCACAGCTAAAATTTTTTATTGAGTAATATTTTATAAAATCGTATAAAATTTCTAGAATTTCACAGAATAAAAAAAATGTAAAAAAGTTATAAAACTAATACCAGATTCGTTTAATGTAATTTCTTTTCAATAATTTTTATTTTTTCAATAATATAATAAAATCACATATTTTCAAAAATAAACAATTCATTTTCATAAAAATAATTATAATTTTGCAGTCAAAGTAAAAAAATCGAAAAAATTACTATAAGTTTAACTTTAACCTTAAATAACTTTTAAATCAGTGAATTTATGAAAAAATCATAGGAAAGCTTTTTTTGTACAGCGTTCAATTTCCTATAAAAATATGTATCTCTTATTGCTGTATATTAACTTGCTCGGGAGAAAAACATTAAATGTAAAACTTGCCGAAACCACATGTTATTTAAATGGAAAATGTATCGGTTTAATATGAATATTTTTTTTATAATTTTTTTAATATTTTTTTTAGGTCATAAACTAAAAATTTAGGGGGCGCTGCGAACAAAAAAAACCAGGTTGCTAAATAACGTACACCCTAATGTACATCCAAGAACACTATATAGTGTTCTTTGGTACATCAAAAAGATTTTACTTCTAACCAAGCCTCTTTATTAAATTGCCAACAATAAAAATATCTTGACAGCTAAAAGAGAAGAAAAAATAAACCCAAAATGATTTTAATAAACTTTCGACCAAGCAACGAGAATAGCGTTCAATCTAAGTTAAAGACATTCTTAAATTTGTAAGGGCGAACTTTAAATTGCGACCTAATCAATACCTCCTGCGAATGACATAGGTACGTTGAAACCATTGAAAAAGAATTGAAACTGCTAAAGAGACGTCTGACCGTTGCACTAAAACTTTAAAACCGATCGCCTTTTCATCTGACAAACGATTACGTTGCAATAAAAGCAACTACTGGAGTTTAAGGTAATTTTAAATTCAACTAGAGACTTGATTTACGTTCGATACGGGCTTCAACTTTGTATACACATTTGGCATTTGCCTTTTTCGAGCCGTCAGCTTTGGGTAAAAACTCTTTAGTTTGAAGTACATGGTTATTGGACACTTAAGGAATATTATTTATTTAAAATTTATATATGCCGTTGTTTTAAAGATTTTAGTTTTTTTTATAAATATATAACAAGGATAGTTTGTTTGCGTTTACTTAAAAATAAGAATATTTGAATTTTTAATAATCTTTTTATAAAAACATGCAAAAAAGTATAGTAATTGGACATTTTATATAGTAATTGGACACATGGACCATAGTTATTTTACAAACAATTTTTATATAAACATAACAAATTTACATCAAATAACATAAATTGTTAAATATTTTTTAAGGATAAATTGGTGTTTTAGGTAATTTTTTTATTTCGTTTTTGTCAATATCATATCATTCATATATTTCTTTCTTGGATTCCTTATCCCTTTTCTGGATTCTGAAGGTAACTACTAATTTCTTGGTCTGACTTCTGAAATAGTTGCAAATAGCATTTCATGCACTGTATTTAAATCACTGTTTTTCTACAAGATGTCATGTGACGAAGAAATTAGAAATTATATTACTCTCCAAAAATGAATTAGTCAAAAATGTCCTAGCGAAAAAGCAGCCACTAATAATTCTCGTCAACAGCAATTTATATCCAGGACATTTAGCAGTCAATTCCTATGAAATATTTTTGGCGGAATCCAAAAATGTCGTCAAAAGTTATAAAAGAAGAACATATAATATGGAATTTACTATATCCCAAAAAATGCTTAACTTTTATAGTTTTTGACGGTCTTTTCGGATTCAGGGGACAATTTTACTTAAGAATTGGCTGGTAAATGTCCGGGATATAGAATATGATATTGGACATACGAGGTGTGTTCAGAAAATAACGGGAATTGTTAAATTTCGCGGGTTCGGAGGGTCCGGTTGTCATAAAATTTTCTCTATTAGTTGGTATACATGCCCCCGAAGTATGATAAAAACTTTAGCTGTTTTCATCGTTTACTTTGTTTGTGGCAGCCGCTAAGGTTAGACGTGTTTTATGAGCTCGGCGATTTTCGTTCGTTAAAAGAAATGGATCAAAGAAATTTGTATCCAATTTTGCTTAAAAAATTAAATAAATTCTGTGAAATGTTAACAAAGGCCTATAGTGAGTCTGCTATAAGTAAAAAGTGGAATAAATGGTTATAAACCATCAGGGACTATTTTGAAGGCGACAACATTAATGTTGAATAGTTGTATAGAGCGACATCTATAAAAAAATAGAGTAACCGTAAGAATGGGAATCTGTTTTACCGGCTGCAAATGTCAAGTTTTTCTGTGCAAAGCGTAATTTATCCTTTGAAAATGGACTATTTAAATTTATTTTGGCCTTAAGAAACTATTTAATAGTTTTGTATTTGCGTATTATTTTTCATGGTTAAGGTGTAAAATATTAAAAACAAAGCAAATGTTAGTTGTATATTTACATTAAACATAACATTAAATTTGTGGTAGATAACTTGTTAGCACATCTTGGACATTATAAATAAATTTATTTAAAGGGCATAATGCTGCACAATTTGGAAGTTTCAATAATCTGGGTGCTGAGTAATTTTTATATAAAATCTACAAAACAGAGTGTTGTGCATAAAATGATTTAAAAAAATTAACTAGTTACTTTTATAAAGTATTCTTCATTTTTCTTATGAATTTCCAAAAAAACACATGAAGCGTAATTAGGTAATTTTTCATCAAATATTCCTAAATAAATAAGTAAACTTGCCACATTAACATCATGGGCTGAGTAAATATTTATTTTTAATTTATTTTCGCCTTTAATTTTTTCCATTGTTGTTTCTAATATATTTGTCAATAAAACACCTAAAAAAATATTGTGATTTTAAAATATTGACTTTGGGTTGTTTTTTGTACCCGGTTGGGCCTTTTGCAGATAAATAGTCGATGTAAGGGAGCGATAAAAAGTTATAAGTATTTCTGTTAGTATTTCCGGATATACTTTTTTGGTCCATTCTGGGAGTTTTAAGCCCAAATCCTCCTATAAAAAATGGTTATCAACATAATAGTATATTATGTATCAAGTTTGATAAACGCCATTTAAAGGTGGAAGTAGAAAAAATAATTTAAGTTTTTATGTTTATAATTACCTGAATTTTTAACATCATATAAATTTGAATGGCTCCTAACGCACTCATTTTATGACCTACATGTTCGGCCATGTATTCAAATATTTCTTCGTACTGAGCAAAATCTG